AATATACTTGTAGCATACTGGCTCCAACTCTCTCTTTTTTTTTTTTTTTTTTGCAAAACATCCATTTACAGATTTACTTCTCTGGTGTGCCAGCTGACTTGTTTTTTCTTATCCAACTCCAACTGCATGACTATGCTATATACATATCTTTTTAACATAGAGACTCCCTTGCGTATTTTGTTTCAGAACCTGTTATTCCTATTCATTTCCAACGGCATAACCTGAAATTCACAATGGAACAACATGAAATCCAAAAGAAAGATGCAAAGCAAAAGCGATAGCTAGTAAAAAGGTCCTGCACTGAAAAACGAAATAGTAAGATACAACATTGCCACTAGCTATCTTAGACCAAAACCCTACCTGACTAGTCCCACAATGGTATGAAGTAAGGCAAGACTCAACTACCTCCTAACCTACAACCCTAATACTCGACCTCCACATTTTCCTATCAAGTGTCATGTCCTCGGAAATCTGAAGCCTTTCCATATCCTGCCCGATCACCTCTCCCCAATACTTCTTAGGCCGACCTCTACCGCTTCTCGTGCCCTCCACAACCAGCCGCTCACACCTCCGTACCGGGGCATCTGGGCTTCTCCTCTAAACATGCCCGAACCATCTGAGCCTCGCTTCCCGCATCTTGTCATCAATGGGAGCCACGTGCACCTTCTCCCGAATATCATCATTCCTAATCTTATCCATCCTAGTATGCCCGCACATCCACCTCAACACCTCATTTATGCTACTTTCATCTTCTGGATATGTGAGTTCTTAACAGGCCAACACTCAACCCTATACATCATGGCCGGTCTAACCACCGCTTTATAGAATTTACCTTTGAGTATCGGTGGCACTCTCTTGTCACACAGGACTCCAGATGCTAACCTCCACTTCATCTATCCTACCCCAATACGGTGTGTGACATCCTTGTCGATCTCCCCCTCCCCCCCGGATAACCGACCCAAGGTACTTAAAGCTGCCTCTACTTGGGATGACCTGTGATTCAAGCCTTACATGCACGCCCACTTCCCCCGGCTCAGCGCTGAACTTACACTCCAGGTATTCCGTCTTTGTCCTGCTCAGCTTGAAACCCTTAGACTCAAGAGTCTGTCTCCAAACCTCTATCCTCTCGTCAACACCGGCTCGCGACTCATCAATCAGAACTATGTCATCGGCTAATAGCATGCACCATGGACCTCCCCTTGTATATGGTGTGTTAACGTGTTTATCACCAGGGCGAATAAGAATGGACTGAGCGCAGAACCTTGGTGTAACCCCATTAAAACCGGAAAATGCGCAGAGTCGCCTCCTACTGTCCTAACTTGAGCCTTAGCCTCATCATACATGTCCTTAATCGCCATAATATAGGGAACCGACACACCTTTTGCCTCCAAGCATCTCCAGAGAACTTCTCTAGGAACCTTGTCATACGCTTTCTCTAGGTCAATAAACACTATGTGCAGATCCTTCTTCCACTCTCTTTACAGTTCTATCAACCTCCTAACAAGGTGCATAGCTTCTGTAGTAGAACGACCCGGCATGAACCCGAACTGGTTATCGGATACAGACATTGTCATTCTCACCCTCGCTTCAACCACCCGCTTCCATCATAATTTAATAAAATTCTATATGAAACATGCAGTACTATTTATCCGAACTCTATATTTACATCAAACTATGATAACTTATGTTAATTAATTTGATTAATTATTATTAAATACTTGAAGTTTATATACAAGCACGTATCGTTCATCTATTAATTTTATGTAAACACCGAACACGAGTATATGTTTTGAAATATGTCTGCCTACCTTTCTAGCATACTATAGCTACCAATTACTATTTTCAGGCTCGGACTGTTGGTTAGTGCTCCTTAAAAAGAAAATAAAACTATTGTTCTTATTGTACTCCATTTGTTTTATTTTAATTTTCTACTTTTGACCTTATGCGATTGTTTAAAAATAATTTAAATATAGTTTAATATTTTATTGAGGATACAAAGGCTTCCAACGGAAAGCTCGTTTTATTTTGTTTTTGTTTTTCTACTTTTTTTTTTTCCTTTGGGTCGTCACACTCGATCAACTATTATTTCTTTTACCACACCAAAATGATAGTGAAAATAACACGGGCTAGCCAGTTTTCTGATTGGGAATCAAAAAATAATCAGCATTTGCAAAGTCATTAAAAATAGCCATTGTTTTGGTGAAATACGAAAAGTTCCCGCATATTATGCGGGATTTTGGAGCTCCTACGTATAAACTTCTAGCATATATGTTAGAACTCCAGCACACGGAAAGTTGCAGCATAATATATGGAATTATGGAGCTTCTGCATATAAACTTCCTGCATATTATGTTGCAACTTCAGCACACTATGTTGGAAGCTCATATGTAAAAAAATTCGAACTCCAATATAATATGCTGAAATATTTTCAGATTTTTAAGGGTGTTCAGATTTTATCTTTACATGAAAAAATAATTTTAATTACTTTTAAAACTTTAGCTATTTTTCAATTACTAATTGTAAATCTGATTATTTTTTATTTTTTCCCGATATATCCAATGAGGCAAATACTCGAGAAAGTGTAGTCGGTATAATAAAGTGGGCCTATAATTTCGCTAGAAAGCTCTCAAGCCCATTTTCCGTTGAACGGGAACGAGTCCAACTGTCCAAGTGATGGAAAACCTGATTATTAAGATCTGTAGCCATTAGATAAAAAAAAAAATGAAAAATTAAAATAAAGTTGGGACAAAAAAGAGCTTCTGCTGCATTAACATTTATCTTGCAAATAATTGTACACCAGTAAACTTGTTCGCGCTTCGTGCGATTATTAAAACTTCTTCTAAGTACGCTATATACAAAAAAGTAAAAATAACAAATATATAAGATAAGATATACATATGAATTATTTTAAAAGCGAAGATACAAGGAAAAAATACATATGAAAAATAAATTGAAATCGAATCATCCCATACTTTTTTTTAACTCCATAGTGATATGTTCTCTCGTGTTCTCAATTGGAAAAGAGAAATTGTGGTTTATAATTTTTGATATTTTCAGGGTCTATCTCAAGTTTACGATTGTCCTTTAATTCATGTATTTAATATTTTTAGTGAAAATATGTATAAGATTTAGGTTATATTTATTGCACGAAATAACAAAAAGAACGTTAAACGCATTAAAAAATCGTCCATAACTCATCTTTGAAAACTTAGTTACAAATTTTAATAATTAATAAAAGTGAAATATATTGGCTCTCATTGAACTCAATTTGTGGTTATGTGTATACACACACACATATATATATATATAGGGAAAATCTCTCATCACTTCACCTAGCATTACCTGTCCGATGGTTTAATAAATAGGCTCGGTTATCCAATAAAGGGAGAAAGTGATAAACGATAAAGAGACTACAAGATAGCTGTTAAAGAGGGAATCGTTGATAACTTGGGGAAAGAGTAGCAGACCTGTAAGCTCAGAGACAATTATGAAACAAAAACACATTAGAGAATACAAATTGCTAATTTGGCATTAAACATAGATTCGACTTTGCCAAAAGATCAATGACAATTTCGGCGGAACCAATAGAATATGACCTTTATGTGTTCAAAAGCCAGCATGTAGGAGCAGAAACTGCAATTATCACCCACTTTAGATAACAGTAGGGTAAAATACCACCAAATTAATTTAGTATCTGATCAAAGAAGGGGGATACAGACATGAAACTTACTTGAGAATTCATCCAAAACAAAAATGGCCCAAAGCATCCTGAGAGAGGAAAAAAAGAAAATAATCCTCTTGGTGAGCCCATCAAAGTTTTTAATCATGCAATTGATAGTAAATAAGCATGATTGGTAGAAGAGAAAGAGTGCATTCCAATACTTCTAAAAACAACACCAATAACGATAATAACCACATATATAAAGTCGTTATCATAGTTTATAGATACATTAGTTGCCGAGTATGACGTTATTGAGCTTGGAAACATCAAAAAAATATTTAAGAAAGTAATTCATCTGGTATTTTTAATTTACCTTCATTGCATCTCAACACCTCAAAAAGCCGGGCAGGTTTTCCGGCAGCCTCTTTTAGAAGGCACCATCATGTCCATCCCATCATGCTGCTGTTTTCTATTAAATTTGCTCTTGGCTATAGAAAACGTCCAAGTGAATTAATGCTTGGAAATTGAAAGGTTCGTAACTGAAGGAGTAAAGTAGTATTACAAATTAAAACATTTCATTTACTTAGCTTGGAATGCAAAAGGTTGCCAGAGCTGTTAACTAATGACAGCTAGACTGACAGCTAGACTTCTTTAAAAAATAACGTAAATGTAGGAAAAAATGAAAGTAAAATGCCAAAAAAAGGAGATAAAAGAAAAATAGATTTGCTGGCTTTAGAGGCATGCCACATCATCTATGCTAATACCAACTTTCTATATATATATATTTTAATGTTTCTCTGNTATATATATAGATAGATAGATGTATTAGTAATTTATCACTGCATTTACTCCATATCCATTTACATATTTAGTTATTTACCTTTTTAGCTCGTTTTTGATAAATAGTCGGTTAAAATTAGAAAAATGAGTATTTAAAGGTGAAGTTGAAAAAAAAAAATATTCACTTGAAATTCTTTTCTAACCAATTTTTTAACTCCAAAATTTTCCATTCCGAAATAAAGTTATATTAATGAACAATATTATAAAATATCTATTCCATCCATTGCAATTTATATAATAAAGTTTAAATATACTGGAATTTAAGAAAGAAAGAGGTCTTTTGTAATTTGTATTTTTAAACCGGTCACAACATTTGTTTGAATATAATTTTTTTATTAAAGTAAAATGAGAAATTTTTATTAATTTTTTTTTGTTCAAATAATAAACCTAAATGGATGGAGTATTAATTTTTGCAAATAAAACCTAGTTTGTTTTGTTCTTTTTTCGTACTTTTTATCCTCAAAAAGATTGATTTGCCACGTCACGCTATTCATCATTTGCTCTTCCTCATCTGATTACGGTACAAAAATAAATTCCCCATTACATCTCAACATTGCGGTAGTTATACCTACTAATTCTACTGTATCTATTAATTCTACTGACGATATCAATGGAGATTGAAAAACAATCAGCGGTGATTGAGCACAAGTCCTATGCCAGAGTTGGACTGCTTGGAAACCCTAGTGATGTTTATTTTGGAAATACAATCTCTTTTAGCCTCGGCAATTTTTGGGCTTCAGTTCGTCTAGAGCCTTCTACAGATCTCGTCATTGTTCCTCACCCTTCTCACGATCTTGTTCAATTCAATTCAGTTTCTCATCTGGTATGCTATCTATTACTTTTGTGAAATTCTTATATTGTTTGTTTCGAATTTAGAGGATATATTCGAATTGTTTTTGAGCTGTCTGTAGACCTGGCAATGTGAATAGTCTGGATTGAGAGATAGTTGATTGATTGATATGGTTTTGAGTTTATTATTTGGTTTGATTGCGGTTATTCTAAGTGGTCAATTGACGCCAGAGTTAATGAGGATTGCTAATTCTCATCTGAAATATTGGTGCTTACTGCGTCCCAATTTACGTTGTAATCTTCTCTTTTTAGTCATTTAGAATGATACTTGTCAAACATTTAAAATTAATTTGATTCTAGACTTCTCATTTTTTCATGGTTTACAGTCACACAAATATCTAAAACTTATTTTAGACCACAAGTTCTAAAAGTTTTTTTCTTATTTTAAACTTCATAATCAATCAAACGGCGTAACATAAAATGAGGTGGAGGAAGTAATTAGAATGATAGGTATAGCTGCACTTTTTTTTTTGTGCTCTGTGGATTTCTGTGCAGTTTGATTGATTTGATTTTAAAACATTTTGCTTGTGCTTGTTATCGACAGGTGAACAGATTGCAGAATGAGGGGTACTATGGAGGAGTGCGTTTACTTATGGCTATTTGTAAAATATTTCACAAGTATTGCAAGGAGAACAATGTTACCTTACATGATGGAAATTTCACTCTCTCGTATGAAACTAACATTCCCCGCCAGGTAGATCTTAACATTGCAATGTTCACATTCCTTTGGATGTTTCAAATTTTGGTTTTGTGTCACCCTAATTATTGGTGAACTTAAAACTTTTTGCTAGTTTATATTTTGAAACATTGTTTCAGATTTTCTCCTTATAGCGAGAATATCAATGTAAAAATCAAGTAGAGATATGTGAAAGTTTAGATTTAAGGCAAAAAAAATTATGTCTAGAATAGATAATAGTTGCAAGTACCTAGATTGTTCTTGCTTGGTATTAAGAGTCAAGGGTTTTTCCTTATTTGCACGAGTAGTTGTGTTATTCCTTGCATTATGGATTCGGAAGAGATTTCAGCCCAACATTTTGGAAGTGATTATAGTTTTTCCCACCTTAATGTAGTAAGCAAAATAAGTCGAGTTGAGCTGGAAAATAATATATTTTCAAGTGATTGGCTTTTTACAATCTAAACAAAGTTCAAATGAGCAGTGAGCTTGTCAATTGAGCTCAAACGGCTCTGTTGTTCTCTGTATATTCCAAATCGTCTATCCAATTGACGTTGAGCTAGCCTGATTATTATACTGAAGACTGAAAGGCCCTTCAAGCTTTAGTTGATTGTTTAATCTCAAAGAAACTTCAACCGTGTCAATCTGCTAATTGTCGAGCAGCTCAGCCTCCATGCTTCAAAATTTTTGTGGTGGTGTCACTATCCATCTCGCTTATAGTTTAGCTCGAGTTTCCAGCTACTCAGTTTAAAATACAAGAGGGTAATTTAGAATGGAGTTACTTCTATTTATATCGTCTCATTGTTTACATGTGCCTTAACTAGTAGGTTTACAGTTTACCTAAAATAACTAAGTTGACTAAAACATTTATACCTTGGACATAGCCCTATGCATAAAACTACACATAGTACCTTCTGGTTTAAGATATGCAAATAAATTAAAAAATAGCAGGCATGCTGTTTCAATCATAACTAAAAGGTACATCAGACTACTTAAATGATCATGATCTGGATATGTCATTGCTATTGATCATAACATAGAAGATTTAATCTATCTCATGTTGAAAGGGTTGATTGATACATCAAATACTTTCCACATCTCAGACAGGGCTTTCAGGTTCCAGTGCAATTGTTAGTGCTGCACTGAGTTGCCTTCTTGACTTTTACAAAGTCAGACATCTAATCAAAGTTGAGGTAAGGCCGAACCTTGTCCTTAATGCAGAGAAGGAACTTGGAATTGTTGCGGGTCTTCAAGATAGAGTGGCACAGGTGTACGGAGGCCTTGTATACATGGTGTGCATCAGTGTTATACTTTTTATTACAAGTTAGTATCGGCGTGATATTTGGAAGCACTAAGCTTGCCAAAGTTGTAGAGTTGATTTTATATTCCCTTTTTACCTTTATTTTGCAGGATTTTGGCAAAAATCACATGGATGAATTGGGTCATGGTATATATACACCCATGGATGTTGATCTTCTCCCACCTCTTTATCTGATCTATGCAGAAAATCCCAGTGATTCTGGAAAGGTGAGTATTTAATGTGCAGTATAACTTGTTCAGGTCAGGCCTACTTTTGGTCATTCTTCTCTCTGAAAAATATTGCTCAAAGGTGACTCGTGACTCGTAGTCCCTTTTCGAGTATTATCTTCGCTGTGGATGATCCAGTCGGTGTGCATATGAACGAACGGATTCCACCTCTTTATGGGCTATATGCCCTGCTTGTCCCCCATACCCCTTTCAGCAAGGGTTGATGTGGTCTCCAAGAATCTTCTTCCGACCTCTGAGGTGGTCCGTCAAGTCCTAGTAGTGTGGAAAATCTTTCTGGTGTCTGGTTCAAAGATTCTTTGGACCGAGTGACTGAGTTTTGGTTGGATATGTTGTTTGCTTAGCCATGCAATGGGTTAAAATTTACATTTTGGTTTTCATTTTACACAAAGAAGTTAGTGAAAAGAATTAGAGGAGTATCAATGTAGGATTGTAGTCCATGAAGGAGGCACTTTAGTTTCAGCATCCTTTAACTGGTTAACCTCTTAAATGATATATTTTCCATTAATCTCTTAATATTTCTCCCGACAATGGAAGAGTTAATGGTTGTGGCAGGTTTTTAAGGAAATATGAATATCAGTGTCCGGATTAACTTTTGCCCTTTCTTTGTCACTAAGAATTACTTTGATGTAGTAGTTACAAAATACTAGATGATACTTATTTCAAATACAGGTACATAGTACAGTTCGTCAGAGATGGTTAGACGGTGATGAATTCATAAGATCAACCATGGAAGAGGTTGCAAACATAGCTGTGGAGGGACGGAAAACACTTCTTGAGAAGGACTACATTAAGTTGGCGGCCCTCATGAATCATAATTTTGACCTGAGACGGTAAAACATATGACAACCTGCTTAGATTGATCAGAGGAATTTGTTAATATCTTGTCTGTGCTTTAGTGTAGTGTCAGTTCCAAACTTATCTTAATGTTATTAACTGTACCGATTTTACGTCTGGTTAAACTTGGTATTTAAACTAGCAAATTGACTAACTTTGACCATCTAAACTTTTGGTTTTGGACAAAGAATAAATCCAACTGATTGATAGACAGCTCCTCTAGCCTTTTGCATCTTATTTTTCATAGTTTTGATGTAATCAAATATTGCTAGAATTGTTATACAATAAGTTGGTAATATGATATGCTATTCAAATGCTAAAATTTTGTACGTGGACTATGCAGGCGTATGTTTGGAGATGATGCCCTTGGAACTATGAATATAGAGATGGTTGAAATTGCTCGAAGGATAGGTGCTGCTTCCAAGTTCACCGGAAGTGGTGGGGCTGTGGTTGTGTTCTGTCCGGATGGACCTTCACAAGTGAAGCAGTTGGAGGACGCATGCCACAGTGCTGGTTTCACTTTCCAGCCAATTAAAGTGATGCCTTCATTTCTAAGCGAAGTTGATCTTCAAACTCTGGGATCAAATTGAAAACCATGACCTGCTTGCCAAATATGGAGCCCTCTATATTCTTTATTCCTTTCACCTTTTATTGGTCTATGCTAAGCTTATCGGGAAGTATGTACCATTACCCTTTGTTATTTTATTTGTTCTGAGTAATGATCATGAGAATTAAACATCTCTTCATGCAACTTGAGCAGTCAAATCCTTTAAAAAAAATATTGATCTCAATCTTTTATCCGTCTTTAGAATGTGCGGTCATCCTTTAAGTTGCAAACCATCCTCTGACTTTCCAAATCCAACAGAAAGAGCAACTATGTTGACCCCACTAATCAAAGGCGTCTCAATAAAATTCGTGACTTTAATAAGACGCCTTAATCTTGCAACTATAGTAGTTTTTTAACCAAAATCGTCTCTTATCATTGGGGGTTGGTCTAACTTTGTCCTTTATGTATTATGCTAAGTACTTATAGTCCTTTAACTTTGCTAAACTAGGGCAGTTTTGATCCAACTAACAGAATGCCTAACGGAACATTTAGAATCTAACAGTATACCCACGTGGGATACACATGAGACGGTTAAAAAAGGACCCATCACGTTCATCTTCCCAGATCATTGGTTCTCCCAATGCACCCCTTTAAATCCAGATATAACAGGGCTGTGAATGAAAAAAAATGAAGCAAGTGAAGATTGGATTATGACTCCACTTAGCCAATTTTCCATATTATTGGGACTAGGCCACTAGGTACGCTTTGAACTATCACCCATATGTAGGAAAAGACCAATAAAGTAAATTGGAACTAGTTTGTTTAAAAGTATATTGGCAATTGGGTCTTCAAAGAATACACATATACAGAACTTCAACACAATAATTCTTGTGCATTTCTGTCCATTCTTAATGAAAAGTAGTACTTACATCTTTAATGCGGTTGTGGAAGTAGAGAACTCTTCAAAGAACTAAAGCAACCTACTTAAAGTATGAGTAAACTATGAATTAACATCCTCACTAAAGCTATTCATTTGATTACACGTACATGTTACGTCATAATTCATCTGATATACATCATTAATCTTGTATTATAGTTCCGGTAACATATTTTGAAACAGGAATCTAGAAATTATCCATGATGATATATGCTCCAGACAGCGCCATCACAAAGAAAGAAATTTGCAACTCAATTAGTGAAGTGACTGATTCAGGTTTGATTCTAATGTTTTTTGTTAAGATTCGATTGTAACGTTTAATTGTCTCATCTCATAGGACCAAAATTGCACCATCGACAGAGAATCATCACATAAAAAGCATTGTTTCACTACATATCATGTTAAAAAGGTTGTATATATAAAAATAGAGATATATAAATCTTGAAAGGATGCGTCTCATAAAGGCAGTACATGGAATAAAACCCACCCAGTCTACAAGGAGGGGTCTGTAGCCCTTACACCTCAGCTGATACAAAACACTATAGGTGCTGAATGTCTTGAGCGGGATGCATTTGTGTATGATGGTAACAAAACCATTTATGTGGTTGGAAAATTACAATTGGATGAGAATGATACTCGTGGATACTTTGGTACCTTCAAGTATATTGGTGAATTGGAACTTTGCAAGTTGCTGGATTGTATGAATAATATCCTCCTAGAGACTCCTGTTGTATACTACAAGCAATGAGTGTGATTTTGAAAGAAAATCCTTCTAGGAAAAGGATATCTATAGATGGGAGCTTCTACTCCACGGATTAGCATGCTTAGGGACTTAGAGGTTTTCAGCGGTTTCTGAGGCTTACAAATAAAGTGGGGAACAAAGTTCATTTAGAATTGTTCTAAGCGGGAGGGGCATGATAAAAGAAATAGGTCTATATTATTTGTCGATCTGTTTTGTTGAATATGTGAACTTGCCCAGAAAATATCGAACTAATAAATAGACGGGATCCTCTTTTTAACCCTCTCACGTGCATCCCACGTGGGTATTACTGTTAGATTCTCCGCACTCTATTAGTTGGACCAAAACTGCCCTAGTTTAGCAAAATTAAAGGACTATAAGTGCTTAGCATAATACAAAAGGACAAAGTTAGTCCAACCCCCAAAGATAAGGGACGATTTTGGTTAAAATTTCCAAAATATAGTATTAATATTACATTGGTTTCTTTTTTCTTTTTGTCTATAGTGTAGTTATCTTATAAATATACTATCACTACTAGAAATTCGGAAAAAAACGACCACGAAAAGCGACCAAAGTTGGTCGCTTATTGGCCAAAAAGCGACCAAACACGCCTGGTCGATATTAAGCTGGTCCCTTTACCTTAGGGACCAAAGTTGGTCGCTAATTAGCGACCAACTTTGGTCTCTCAGGTAAAAGGACCAAATTTTCCAGGCAAAGCATATAGCGACCAACTTTGGTCGCTCAAATATTTTAATATTATAAATTTGGCGACCAAAGTTGGTCTCCAGATGTAAATAACGTTTTATTTTTATTTATTGTTAATCATATCAAGCGACCAACTTTGGTCGTTATATTAATAATTTTTATAATTTTTTATTTAATTTGCGACCAAAATTGGTCGCCAATGGCAAGAATTAATTTTTCTTTTAACTATAAGCGACAAACGTTGGTCGCCAAATTACCAAAACTTGTTTTTTAAAATAGAATAGCGACCAAGACTGGTCGCTATTGCCCAGAAAATTGTTTTTTTAAGTGAAAAGCGACCAACTGGAGACCAAAGTTGGTCGCTTTTTTTGGTATATTTTTGGCAGAAACTGCCTGTTTTGGCTGCTACACCACCTGCCAGCTTATACCAAATATCCTAAACAAGCATTTTATGCCAACAACAATAACAACAACAACACTAAAAAGCAACAAAATATAAAGATCAATAGAACTAAAACATTAAGCTAACAAAACTAAGTTAACGTTTATTACAAGCTCATTCGAAAACTAGTTCTATTGTCTATTTCAAAGTATATAAAGTAATCAAGGAGTGTTCTTTTAGCATCCTCGTTCGAAAGTTGAATTGCCTCGGCCGACTCGTTAGGTGGCTGACTGCGTATGAATTCCCCCACATCAGTTGTGAAGCGAACCTATAAGAAAAAATTATATTGAAATTAATATTTCAAAAATTTTATACAAAAAGTAAAATCAAAAATACTTAAATGAAAAAAGTAAAAACTTACATGTATAGTCGAGGCTCGACGCTCGACCCACCTTTCTGAATCAGTCTCTTTCTTCTTCTTAACAATACGAGTNTTAATCAAATACTTCAAATATTAACCTTTCGCCTATAAATCTTTCCAATAGTAATCTTTAGGATATAATATTTTCCGATAAATATACTTCGAACATACCTCCTTCAAATAGATATCTTTCTCATAATTCTTCCAAACAAATATCTTCCCAATATAATTCTTCCAAATAAAAATCACCATGGGACACCACATTTCAAATCATAAAATACGGGTCTCAGCCCATTTTCATATTTCCACGGTACCTCGTACCAATTTTTCTATCACAACCGCACGGACAACTCACGTGCCAATATCATTTTAACTATATAACCACGGCACCTCGTGCCTATGTTTCATATCATAACTGCACGGACAATTTACGTGCCAATAATAAATTCATCATATTTTTCTGGCATCTCGTGCCCATATCATAATCCGCCCGACAATATTCACAGGCTCATAACTTCAACATATATCCAATTATTATCAAATTTACTGGATTTAAAAAAAATAAATTGCACAATATATAAAAGAAATCACCAAGAAATCACAACATCACATAAAGTCACCAACATAATATCCTCACATCACCACATATCATCCCTGACAATAGCCACCCTTATCTCTCCTATAACCACCCTTATCGCTCCTATATAGCCACCCTTATCGCTCCTATATTAGCCTCCCTTATCGCCCCGCCTAGACAATATCCCAACACATAATCACAATGAAATGCCACCCTTATACTCACATAATATCAAAAATGGAATGCCACCCTTATCCGCCGCATAACAGTGACCCAAATCACACCATAATTTACATGGATATTACTATGGCAACACAACAAAAATTCATATTATAAATTGCCCATGGGCGACAACCAAATTCCAAAGATACAACAAAATCAATTAATTTTACAACAAATAGCCCAAGGCTCCACACAAAGTACATAAAACCCCGACAACTACAACAAAGATGGAAAATTAACTCAGCATAATACGTCACCTTCTTTAATCCAAATTTTCGATAAATATATTAATACTTCAATTTAAACTTACTTAATTAATTGATTATTTGTAGAAGAAAAATCCATAATCTAATTATTTTCACGAAATGTCAAATCAACAACACACGAAATTCACATGAAAATCCAATGGAAATTTACACCAAATTATCATATAAATACAAACTCGACAACAAAGGATGAGGCATGACAAATCAAGGACTTACTAAGTTCCAACGATTTATTTCACTTTAATACGTAAGGGTGTCTATGAATTTAGTCGATATAATTTGCACATATAAATCAAGTACGTACTCGTCACTTCACGTACATGATTTTCATTCAAACAATTTTCACATAAGACTCAATGCCTAAGGGGAAATTCCCCCACACGAGGTTAGGCAAGATATTTACCTTTATGAAGTTAGTCCGATATTCTAAAATCGCCTCCTTGCTTGAATCGACCTCCGGATAGCTCAAATCTATCCAAATTAATTGTATAACTTCATTAAAATTCATCGGAAACAATTCCGAATAATATAAAGTGGAATAAAAATTTTATTCTAAAAAGTCAACCAAAAGTCAACGCGGGACCCGCCTCTCGGAACCGACATAATTCTTACGAAATCCGAACACTCATTCCGATACGAGTTCAACCATACCAATTTTATCAAATTCCGATAACAACTCGACCTCCAAATCTTAAATTTTTGTTTTTGGAAGATTTTGCAAAAATCTTGATTTCTTCCATCTAAATTCGTATTAAACGATGAAAATAACTATGGATTTATGAAATACAAACATATTCGAGTATAGGACACTTACTTGAGTCGAAATCGTCAAGAACACCTCAAAATCGCCCAAGAACCGAGCTCCAAAAATTTTAATTGAAATGGAAAGTCACTGATTTTCGATGCCTTATGTTTCTGTCGTTTCCGCTCCTGCGTACTGTTTTACGCACCTGCGAAGCCTCTTTTGAGACTCAAAAGCTCGCTTCTGCGATCCA